TTAGAAGGTTTATATTTAGTTATATCAATTATATTATTATTGTTTATTAGTTTGTTTTATATTTATTAGTACGTGTCACAACTTAGTTATTATTCATATTATTTCTTATATGTAAAATTTTTTTAAACCTTTATTCTTGTTCTTTCACATGTTCTTAACTGTAGATTTGTCAGAAAAGACATAATATAAAGTATAGAATTTTTTCGATCATCTGCCTCATTATATATCAAATATTTGTATATCCTATATTATATTATATTTAATTACAATTTTTTGATTAATATTTTAATTAAATATTTACAATTCATAAATTCATTAATAATATTGTTTAGTTAACTTTTGTTCATAAAATTTTTAAAGATATATTATTTTCATTGATTTGCTTATGTTGAATTGAGAAAAGTTATGTTTTTTAATTACATATAGGGAGGATATAAGATTTCTTATATTTTTTATGTAGTATTTATTGAGTAATTGTGTTAACAATTTTTCTATTAAAAATATATTAAACACGTGAACTTTTTAGTTCCTATATTTTTTTTTCATAAATCACTCATTATTTTATCCCAAGATTACCTATTAATTTACCAATTGAGTTACAATTCTTACATATTAAATATTATATAAATAAAATATTTCTTGTTTTATCTGTTCAATATGATACTTATATATTATATTAAAAAAATCAAGGAAATAAATAGCTCGCTAAAGTTGCCGCTATTTGAGAAATAGCTTTTTTTTGGCAGCGTGCTGCTATTTGTATTCATGTGCAATTTAGCCGCTAAATCCCGCTAAATCTCCGCTATAGCTCCGCTATAGCTACAGTGCCATAAATGTTTTAGCCCGCTATTTAAAATCTTGAAAAAAACTAATATAGTAAATAAAAAAGTTATTTAAAATTAGAATAATGAAGATTTTTTTTTTCTAATCTACATGTATAAATGTACAAATAACTATTGTCTATCACCTCAAATTTACACATAAAATTAATAAGAACAAAAAACTAACAAGCGTTTAACAACTCAGTTCGATTACATCGATAAGTATATTTTTAGAAGGTTTCTATTTAGATATATTAATTATATTATTTTTGTTTATTAGTTTGTTTTATATTTATTAGTACGTGTCACAACTTAGTTATTATTCTTATTATTTCTTATATTTAATGTTTTTTTTAAAATTTTATCTTGTTCTTTCACATGTT